AGAAAGCATAAGATAGTTTATCTGTGAGATTTATGGATGAAGGAAGAATTTAGGACCAAAGAAGATATAGAGAGCATTACAAAATGTAAAAAAAAAAGATAATTTTGGTTATATAAAATCATTTTGACTATATGTAAATTTGATTATGTAAAAAAGTTTTTGCACAAACAAAACCAATGCAACCAAAATTATAAGGAAAGTAGAAAACTGGGGGGAAATTTTGCAATAAGTATCTCTGATAAAAATCTCATTTCTCAAATGCATAGAGAACCTAGTTAAATTTATAAAAATACAAGCCATTCCCCAATTGATAAATGGTCAAAGGATATGAACAGGCTGTTTTCTGACAAAGAAATCAAAGCTAGCAACTATCATATGAAAAAAATGCTCTATATCACTATTGATTAGAGAAATGCAAATTAAAACAACTCTGAGGTACCACCTTGCACCTATCAGAGTGGCAAATATGATAAAAAAAAAAAAGGAAAATGTTGATATTGGAGGGGATATGGGAAAACTGGAACACTAATGTACTGTTGTTGGATTTGTGAACTGATCCAACCATTCTAGAAAGTAATAAACTATGACCAAAGGGCTATAAAACTGTGCATACCCTTTGATCCAGCAATGCCACAGCTAGGTCTATATCCTAAAGACATCCAAAATAATCAAAAGGATATATTTGTTTTTTGTTTTTTGTTTTTGTTTTTTTGCTTTTAGGAAATTGGGGTTAAGTGACCTGCCCAGGGTCACACAGCTAGTAAGTGCCAAGTGTTTGGTCTGAGGCCAGATTTGAACTCAGGTCCTCCTGACTTCAGGGCTGGTGCTCTATCTACTGCTCCACCTAGCTGCCCCAAAAAGGACATATTTGTACAAAAATATTTATAGCAGCTCTTTTTGTGGTGGCTAAGAATTGGAAATCAAAGGAATGCCCATCAATTGAAGAATGGCTAAACATGTTGTGGTATGTTTGTAGTGGAGTATTATTGTGCTGCAGCATTGAGAAGCAGGATGATTTGAGAAAAACCTGGAAAGACTTACATGAACTGATGCAAAGTGAAGTGAATAAACCTGAAGAACGTTGTACACAGTAATAGCAATATTACTTGATGAAGAACTGTGAATGACTTCACTATTCTCAGGAATACAATGATCCAAGACAATCCCAAAAGAATAATGATAAAGCATACTATCTGCCTCCAGAATGATTGAATACAGACTGAAGCATGATATTTTTCATTTTCTTTCTTTCATTTTTTTTCTCTTATTCAGGTCTTCCTGTACTAAATGACTAATAAGGGAATGTTTTACATAATTGAACATGTATAACCTGTATTTGATTGGTTACCATCTCATGGAGGGGAGAGAGGTAGAATTTAAATCTCAAAACTTTAAATAAAAATGTTTTAAAATTTTAAAAAAGGAAATTGTAAAGCGCTTTTAATGATCTCAGGCTTCCCCTAGAATTAAAGGTTCATATTTTTAATTAAAAAAAATAAATAAAAGCCCCATTGCTCTCCTTGCTTCTCATAACTGCATGACATTATGGTCCCTGATAGTTTATAGACTCTCCTTCTAAAATAAAAGATTTTCTCAGTGAGCCTTCAAACCATAAGATGTGGCAAATGCCAGCTGGGGCCTGGCATTGTCCCTTCCTGGGAACCAGTTGGGCAATGGTCATTTGAGAAACACTGGGGATGATGGGGTCTGACTTCTAAAGCAGCCTGTGGTTGGGTGGGCACACATCCAGTAGCCCATGACTTGGTTCTCTAACAGTATACGTGTTTGGGATGTGAGCTTATTGTTTTATTTTTCTTATTTGTGGCACGAGCTTGTTATTAACTTAAGGCATGAAGGATGTCACCAAAAGGAATGATGACCTTTAAAGAAATGATGAGTCTGTCAAAATAACAAGCATGAGGGATAATTGGTGGATATCCCATGAAATTCACTGGTATCCATGCCATCTTCATCACAATCCACAAGCATTCATAAGCACCTACTATGTGCCAAGTATTGCATTAAATGGTAACGATACAAAGAAAACCCCTGGAGGAGCTCACATTCTCATGGGAGGAGACAACATGCAAATTGCCATGCAAGTACAAGATCTATACATGTAAATGGAGAGGGGCACAAAAGGTTTCTTGCAGAAGGTTAGATTTGAATGCAGGCTTGAGAGAAGTCAGGGAAGCCAGGAGGCAGAGGTGAGGAAGAGGATTACAGCCTAGATGACAGCCAATAAAAAGACTTTTGCTGTTGGTCCTTTGTTTTTTGAAGAGGGCAAGGATTAGGGAGATGTAGAGTTGTGTGCAAAGACCCAAGTAGGCAGAAGGGGAGTGATGCACGAAAAGATGCAAAAGGTAGGAAGCACCCAGGTTGTGAAGGGATTTAAAAACTGAACAAAGAATTTTATATTTGATCCTGGAAGTAAAAGGGAGGCAATGGGGAGGCCTGAGCTTTAGGAAGATCACTTTGGTGGCTGAATGGAGGATGAATGATAGCGGAAAGAGGCTTGAGTCAGGAAAACCAACCAGCAGGCTACTGCAGTGCTCTGGGCATGGAATAATAGGAGCCTGCTCCAGGGTGGGAGTTGTGTGGCTGGAGAGAAGAAGACGTACACGAGTGGGTGAAGGCAGAAATGGCGACACTTGACAATGCCAAGAGAACTTGAGAAAGGCCCTCACGTCATTGGAGGAGGCAGACAAGAATGACATAGGACATGAGGCACAGAAGAAACAACAGCTCTTGACTTCAAATCTGGAGGGAACCTCAAAGGTCATCTGGTGCAACCCCTTGTTTTAGAGATGAGGATACTGGGCAGGGTGGGGCCTACCCCTTGGGATGGTGGACGGTTTATAGACTGAGAATGATAAGACCCAAGTTCTAATCCCAGATCTGCCTTTGAGTATTCATGGAACTTTGGGTAAATCCTCTTCCCTCTCTGGGCCTCAGGTTCCTTAAATATTGGAGTTGGAAATGATCTCCAACATCTCTTCCAGCTTTAAATCTCAGGTCCTATGTCCAGGGAGGTTAACATGCCCAGAGTCCTGTAGGGAGTAAGGAATCAGGGGCAAGACTTGAACCAAATTCCTAAGATGTACTATGAGCTGCATTGTTAGGAGAAGGCTCATTGATGAGATGACAAATTCATCCAAGTATCAAAGTATCCTTCATTGATCTTTCAACAAAAGTAGTGTCATCTTCTCATTAACTTTGGCGCGCGCACGTGCGTGCGTGTGTGTGTGTGTGTGTGTATGTGTGTGTGTGTGTGTGTGTATAATTACCTCAGTATTTTTTTTCTTTTTCAAGAGACCTTTCTTGGAACCCCAAGTTGCTAGTGCCATCTCTTCTAAAACTAGCTTCCATCTACTCAGTATATAACTTGTATGTTCTGATTTTTCATGTTGTCTCCCCATTAGAATGGAGACCCTTTGAGGGCAGGGATTTTTTTTTTCTTTGTATCTCTGGAAACTCAGTTTCTGGAACACAGTAGGCACTTAATAAATGCTTCTTAACTGATTGATTTTTAGCAAATGACAGTTGGTATAAGATGTAGTCCATGGGAACTTTGAGAATTACTCTGAGCTTTTCATTCAAGATGGAATTACAAAATTTTTTGAAGGGTTGGAAGGGACCTCAGAGGGTGGCTAGTCTAATCTGTATGCAGAAGGAATCCCCACAACATACCTGACAACAGATTGGCATCTAAACTCTGAAAACCTCCAACTGATGACAAATGTGTGTGTGTATAAATAGTTTGTCTTAAAGACATAAGATCTGTTGCATCCTGATTGAAAGGGAAATTTTAGTGATGGAGAAAATGGAGTGAATGAGGAAAAGGGAATGAGCCAAACAGAGGCTGGGGCAGACATCAGTGAAGTGCAGACTCAGGGCAGGCCCGGGCAGATGGGCACTGTAGGATGGAGGGGCCTATAATGTTTTGGGCCAGCCCTGGGTCACCAGCATGAAAGAGTGGAAATGGCTTTGGGCTCAGAGGAACCAGGTTCGAATCCTGGTTCTATGCCCTCTGCAGCATTCCCTTTCAGTATCCTCATTTGCAAAACATGGTGGTGGACTAGATAATCAATCAGGTTTTTCACAGCTCATTATCTATGGGGAAGCTTAGATCATCTTAGGCTCAGGGTTAGTAATCTGGATCCATTCTAAAACAGATCCAATTGGATTCTGAGTTTCATTACAAAAGAAACACTAAAATTCTTAGTATAGATTTTGGATTACTTTCATCTCTCTGCAACTCAAAAATGGCCTTAACTTTCCAAGTATTCCTAGACTGTGGACATATCCAAGTGCTTCCCTGGCCACACTAAATCCTGACCACTTTCCCTCTTGAAATCATTCAAAATCCACACTTAGACATGAAAATTCGTTACTAACAATTTCCAGAGGTTCACTGTGTGGGCCCTGATAATGGCCATCTTACCAGCTCTGGTAAAGCTACACAGGATCTCACTAAGAGTAATGAGTGAATAAGGGGTGCCTTGATGCACTCAAGGTTGTTGGAAACTTTTATTTCTTTGGGCTCTTGGCCAATTCAATGAAAGAAATATGAAGTGCCTACTATGTGCAAGGTATTTACTAGTAACTGGAGATACAATGGCAAAAATAGCCCCTGCCCTGGGACTTGAGAGAGAGAGAATGAGAGAGAGAAAGAGAATGAGAGAGAGAGAGAGAGAGAGAGAGAGAGAAAGAGAGAGAGAGAGAGAGAGAGAGAGGGAGAGAGAGGGAGAACATGTATCCAATTAAGTAAATGCAAACTGTATACAAAGTAAAGAAAGCAATTTCAAAGAGTGGGAACATTCATGATGAGGATTCAGGAAAGGTTTTGAGAAGGAAGTGGTAACTGAGCTGGGCTTTGAACAAAGCTCAGTAATCTATGAAGAAGAGTAAGGAAGGGCATGCCAGACATGCAGTACATTCAGGCAAAGGCATGGAGGTAAGAGATAGAATGTCATTTACAGGGCAAAACAAGCACTAACCTGCAAGGTCAAGTGGAAACTGTAGCATGCTCCAGGTCCAAATGGCAAGAATTGCATAGACAAGTACAGGATTATTTCTGGGAGAAACACAACATTCAATAATGTTCATAAACACATTGCAGAAAACCTGCAGAAACACACAATCTTCCCCACCCAGACCCAGCTTCATGGGTTTTCTTGGGGGGTGGGGTGGACATCTACATAGTTGGAGCTACAAGATGCATGTGCAATATACTGAAGATATGCATAAGCAAGATGCAGTGATGAGCTTCCACCTCATTGCTTCAAGGATTCAATTCATTACAATTAATCAAGTTTTACCAAGGGATTTCCTCACTCTTGACTTCTGTTTACTTCCCTATAAAATGAGGGAGCAAGACTAGATGAGAGTGGGTGCCTCTTATAGCTCTAAATCTCTTGATATGTATAATAAAGTACCTACTAAGTGGATTACATATGCATGGCACAGCAGATTAGAGAGTTGGCTTCAATATCAGAAAGACTCAAGTTTAAACCATGCCTTTGCCACATACTGGCTGTGTGACCTTGGATAAGTCACCTCATCTCTAAGAACCCCCAGGAAAGTCTCTCAGATGAGAACTTGCAGAGAAGGTACAATCCTGCATGGGTAGAGAAATCTTCACCAGGAACCAATGATATCAAAGGTCTGGTTAAAAACAAATAAATGTGAGAGGCATTGGGGTTAAAAAAGACAAAAAGGAAACAGTCCCTGCCCTCAAGGAGCTTACATTCTACAATGTTTACACAGAAAAAATAATATATATACACAATGGAATTGTGAAGTGGAGAGCAGTAACAACTGGTGTGGGAGGGGCTCCAGAAAATCCTCCCATGAGAGATGACAAGTTGAATTTCATCAGAGTGGGGGGCTCCTTCTACCAACATAGGTCACGAACTCTCTATAGTCCAGCAGATGGTCTTTGAGAGTTAGTGTGGTTGAAAAGTTCATTCCCCTGCAGTCAGTCTTGGAATGAGTCTTCTTTGAAGTCTGTGGTTGTTCAGTCCTTGCAGTTGTGTCTGACTCTTCATGACCCCATTTAGGATTTTGTTGGCAAAGATACTGGAATTGTTTTCCATTTTCTTTTCCAGCTCATTTTTACAGATGAGGAAACTGAGGTAAACAGGGTTAACTGACTTGCTCAGGGTCACACAGCTAGCAAGTATGAAACCGGATTTGAACTCAGGTCCTCCTGACTCCAGGCTCAGTGCCCTACCCGCTGTGCCACCTAGCTGCCCCTCTCAGTTAGCTAGACTGATTTCCCTATCAGCCAAATTCAGTGACCAAAAGATGAATGAATAGTTCTCAAAAGAAGAATTGCCAACTAATAACAACCATATAAAAGAATGTTTCAAATCACTAACAGCAACAACAGTTAACATTTATATAGTCCTGCTATGTGCCAAGCACTGGATTAAACATTTTGCAATCATTATCTCCTTTGATCTTCACAACAACCCTGGGAGGTAGGTGCTATACTGAGGCAAACAGAGGTTAAGTGACTTGCCCAGGGTCATACAACTAGTAAGTGTCTGAGGCTGGATTTTAACTCAGATGGTCCTGACTCCACGCCCCGCCCTCAAACCCCTGCACTGCTAGCTGCCCCAGTGATGACTGCACCCATTTTAATCACAGGTGAGAAAACTAAAGTTCTAGGATTTGCCTAGATTTGGGAATCCTTTTCCTCTTCTTTTCCCCTCGCCCCCAAATCTTCAGGCTCTTCAACTAAACAAGCATTTCCAGTCAAAGGCAAAGTGAAAACTCCTCTTCTTGTCTGCATCACAGTCAATGGGTGCAACCATATTTCTTAGCATAAAAATTCTTCATTAACAGTTTGGGACAATTTTTTAAATGCTCATTCTATTTGTAGCTGCAATTACAGCTGCATTCCTTTGCATGTGCCAATGACATGTGAATCCACACAAAATATGGGTCACTTTGGGAAGATAAGGGGTTGGGAAAGGTCACCAAAGCATTCAGAAACAGTTTTGGAAAAGCTATTTGAGGTCCCAGGATGTCTGAGGTGGGTAGATCTGGGGTATTAGGTCAAGGAAGGGCCAGTACACAAGACGAGCCTAAACTAACGGAGACAAAGGGGGTAAAAATAAGTCACCAAGACCACATGGCAACTACTCAAAAGTTCTGAGGCAACTTCAGATGGAAATTGCCCAATCCAGGCAGGTTACTGACTCCATTAAATGTGTACTATTGCCTCCATACTGGCCAAGACAGAAGAGTTATTGATCAAAATGACTGATCACAGGTACAAATGCCCAGAATGGGGATCTGTCCCTCCCCCATTTTCATCCATTGGGCAAATAGCACCATAGCTTTTGAAAAGGAAAATTGCACCTACTGGGTGGGCTTATTTTATGTGAGTGCGTAAATAAAAACAGCCCACTTTTCTATAGCACTTTAAAATTCTCTTTGCAGATCTTTATCTTATCAGAGTCTCACAAACAGCTCTGCAAATTTAATTTTATCCTTTTCCCCTCTTTACAAACGAGGAAACTCAGGCTTGGGGACATTATGCCTCTCAACTTCTTAACCAGGGACATATCATATTATAGTTATATTGTTTATGTTGTAATGCTATTTCTAGTCATTATTTTATTATAACATTTTCAAATATTTTTATTATTTATATAATAAATTAAACAGGTAACTTTCAAAGCTGTCTTGCTTGTGTTTTTCCCTCTGAAAATCTTTTGTTGAAAATCTTTCTGAGCATTAAAAAAATGCTTAAATGACCTTCTTTTGTTTCTTTTTTTTTGACATTTGTAACTTAGCTCCCTTCTCCCCCTCCCCCTATTAAAAAAGAAAGGAAAACACAATCCTTGTAATAAATAAGTAAAACATTTTTTAAAATCCATACATTTGCTACTTCCCCAAAGTGAACAAGCATTCTAACACGTTCTACATCAAGAACACTAACTTGAGAATAGTCACTTCTCTGACTGGAGACTTGTTAACAGTAAGCTATTTTGGGCACTGACCCTGGGATAGATCTTATTTGGCACTTTTTAAAAAAGAACCAACATTTTTGTCTCTGGCTCCCCACTCACTCTGCACCCTAGGTCTGGAATGGTTCCTTCCCAAGCTTGTAGGCTGAATTCGTAGTCATTATTTCAAGTTCTCCCCCATTCAGATCACCTCCATTCTTCCCAGCTCCCATCTCATAACTGGACGAGGCTCCCTTCCATGGCACACCTGACAAGAATTTATCAAGGCTTTGCTTGAAGACCTCCAATGTGAGGGAACCAGCCATATCTCAGGCAGCCCCATTCCACTTTTGGACAGCTCTCATGGTCAAAATCTGTATATCTCCAACATCGGTCCATTGTACCTAGTTTTGGCCTCTGAGACAAAACAGAACACTTCTAATCTGTTTTGCATATGAGAGCCCTTTGAATACTTAAAGTCAGACATCATATCCCCTCCCCACCACCACCCCCATCCCAGCCTTCCTTTCTCCAGGCTAAACTCAACCAGTTCCTTCAACGGACCCTCCTATGACATGGATCCATGGTCCTTCACCATTTTGGCTGCCTTCCTCTGGATACTCAACAACGTCCTTCTTAAACAGCAGTGCCCACAACTGAACACAAACCTTCAGATGACTTCTGGCCAGACTGGGGTTCCTAGCTCCCTATCATTGGAAGCTATTGTCTCTCTTGGGCAACTAAAACGTGCCACTGTGCACACAGTGCCAGGCCTAGAGTCAGGAAGACTCATCTTCCTGAGTTCAAATCTGCCTTACTTACTAGCTTACTATACTTACTACCTGTATGACCTTCAGCAAGTCACTTAACTATGATTGCCTCAGTTTCCTCATCTGTAAAATGAGCTGGAGAAGGACATGGCAAACCACCTCAGTATCTTTGTCAAGAAAATCCCAAATGGGCTCACAAAGTTGGATATACCTGAACTGCAAAATTGTCTGTCTTAATATGGCCAGCCCCACTTTTCATGAGCTTTTTCAATTACTTCACAGGGACCCTGTGAGGATCAAATGAAATAATATATGTAAAGCACTGTGTAAACGTAGGCTAATAATAGGAAAGTCTCTAGTCCAATACGTACTGAACAATACTCCTCCCTACATCTAGTGAGAGAGATCTCACCACCTCCCAGGGCAGTCTTTTCCTACTTTGGAGGAGCTCTAATACACCCTAAGAGAGTTTCCTGTGAGCAAGCCCAAATCAATCTTTATGCAATCTACCCCCATCACTCCTAGTTCTACCCTATGGGAAGGAGGGAGATGGAGTTGGATTTTCTGTTTCCAAGGGCAGCAACAACCTCCCTCATTTCATGGTACATTTCATCATCTGCCTTGCAGTTCTCCTAAGGACCTCAAGAAAACAGGGTGCCATCAACGTCATCCCAGCCTGTGTGCCAACAACCGTTGCAGAAGTAGGAGAAGCAGGGAAATCCACTAGGGAACCCTCCAAGATCATCCAGATGAACATTATACATTAATATTATTTATTTCAATATGAGGTTGGGCATAGGAAAGAAGGAATTAATTAATTAATTGACCACTTGCTCTGTGCCAGACACTATGCTAGTATTGGGGACGCCAAGCACAAAGAACAATGGTTTCTGCCTTTGAGGAGCTTACATTCTAAGAAGAGAACACATCACATAAAAGGTTGGGAAGAGTGAGGGTACCTTATTCTGGGACATGGTTTTGTACAGAAAGTCCAGAAAAAAATTCAGGAATAAGGCCGGGAGGAGGATGAAGGCAGGTCAGTCTGGGCCCCGCCTCCCCCATAATATAGTGGCTCCAGAAGGAATTTGCCAATAAAAGAAGGAGGGATGGTCTTGTGGAGGGATATACCAGAGTAAGCAGCAATGGAAGTGAGAGGTTGTTCCAGGGCTAGGAAGCCTCAGATGCAGAGGGAAGATCTAGGATTGGCCAGCCACAGAGAAGGTATAGTTTTAAAATCCAGAGATAAAGGCAAGTGAAGGTACAAGAGAAGATGGAGAAAAATGGAAAATAGGGTTTAGGATTAAGATACCAAAAATGTTATAGGTGTTGAAACCTCCTACCTATTT